ATTTTCCAAAACTTCGAAGAATTATGTATCAACCTTTATCGGTTCCAATACAGGTCATATAAGTGCGATTTTGGCCCTTATATCAAGAGGAGGCTATTCTATCATTGCGGAAAAGCTCTATGCCTTCCGGGTGTGTTTCAAAAGTGATGCCAAAGTTTCCAAAACTAAACCAAACTAAACTTTCACGAACTCCTAAATGATAATAAGGACGTTTGTCAAAAATGACGTGTGCAGTATCACGTGCTTTGGTGTTTTATTATTTTGAAAAATTCAAATAAAATGTTGGCGTATAATATTAATCAAGGCTGATTCAAGATTCGAAAATAAGTTCCTTGACAGCATCATGCCTAATATCACGTACAACCGCCAAAAAAATTGTTGGCTAATTGTTATCATTCTAATAATTATATCTATCTAAACACATTTGGGTTCTACTTAAAATGTATATTTTATTACTCATAAAAACTTTGGAAATTTGATGTTTGTGTAGATGAAACATCTGGGATGTCGTAACTAGGTATTACCGTCTTGATAATTGAATTTTTCTATAGGATCATGCCCAAAATCTCCTATTATCATCATAAAAGTATTTGATACGAATGTTAGACACGGTTGTCAAAATATCAAAAAAATATGATCTGAACAAAAATGGAATTTTTGTGTTTCAAATTATGCATTATTTTGATAATGATATACAGAGAACTATCACAAGTATTAAAATGATCAATTCAATTTCAATTGAGAAATTAGTTAAAAATACATAATGGAGCTGTTTCACTAATTTCTGCAATTGGCATAATAATTGAATAAAGCAACTAAAAATAGAATTTTCTGCACCCTTGCTTTTGAAACACACTAGTCCTTGTTGAGAAAATAAATAAAAAAGGAAACACTAAAAAAGGGAATTTATCTGCACTACGTCACAACTTGAATTTTGACAGTGTTGCCACTCATTGTCAGCACTGAAAATTTTTATGTAATATACTTATTTAATTCTAAAATGGGATTCAAGAATTCTTTTTTTTTTTCTTTGAATTATTGTCATACACAATTCGAATTTTTTTTCGTAATCAGGTTCATCAGACAACTGCAACAGCGCAATCCAAGCTTTAAGCCAGGGGCCACGGGAACAGTTATTGGTGCTTTGTCGATGGATTCTTTTTGAATTTGATTGGTAGAAGATGCTCATGTCCCTAATACGATTTAAAATGTTTCCATTTAAGGAGTGCCTGTAGTCAAAGTTTTCCTAAACCCATTTGAGCTCGTATAGATCATTTTTTTTGGCAAATATATCTAAAATAGTCCCTCATTTAAGATTTTAGGCTTAAATCACGTATTTAACTTTTAGTGAAAGAGCCCAAGTCTGACCGATATTCAATGTGTGTAGTAGTAGGTATAGAGGTAATCATAATCATGCTAAAGTCAACTTGTTCCACATTCTTTGTTTAACGTCTGCCCAGAAGTTTTGATGTTCTAGTAGGGTAAATTTAATATAGATGTCACGGTTACCATCTGTACAAATCAGAGGTCCGTATTTCTTTTACTATTAGCAAAGACAAAGAGATAAAAATTAGAAAATCTTATATTTAAAATAAACGCATATCGTTTTCATCTAGGCTCGGCGACTTAATTATATTCAAGAGAATAGAATTTATTTTAATTTCGTACTATTCACTATTCATATTTTTGCGATTTGTTCAAAACACAAAACAACCTTTTAACAAATGCTCAAAATTACGCAGAAACGAATTAAGCCAAAAATAATTATCTCTTTGAAGCTTTGTCCGATTCCACGTATACACTAAAAATAAATGAATCAGTAGCATTTTCCAGCTACCGCTACCACAATAAATTTGGCATCAAAAGGCCGGGCGTTTCGGGAAAAAAAGTTCGGAAAATGAATTTCGGAGAAGCGAACATTACGGGAAAATGACAAAGGCCCAATAAATAAAGTGATTCTGAAAATTGATGCTAATTAAAATAAGTGGGCGCATGATATTCATATTATTTATCATGTTGTAAAAAATTTCTGTGAATTTATATTTATTGTTGTTGAAATAGGCTTTATGTTCCACATTCTTTTCAGTGGAGTTAGAATTGAATGAGTATAGAAAATGTTTAAATCAACAGTTAGCCTTTCGCCAAACGCCACTGGGTCTTTAATCCAGGGCTAAATCATTCGAAATTTCAAGTTTCGATTATGAATGACACCCCAATGGAAAAATCTACTATACCAGTCAAAAGAATAAATGGACCTTTTACCTTTTGAAATGCTGTTTGAGCAATTCAGAAAAGATCCGCGTTCATCTAGGCTGCTGAAAAGTGAGACATCGGAGACACAAAGAGACCATTGGCTATCAGAATTGCAGAACAGCAAACGAACACAAAAACCGGCTGAACATGTATGAGTTAAACTTATATTGAGATAAACCTCTCCAGAATCTCATTAACACTGAGGAGGTCACAAAAGGTTTGCCAATTAGTCAGAAATCCTATAATGATTATTTGCCAACGAGTTTTGAGGGCGATGTCTTTAAAGTTAGAGACTTCATCCCCAGTATGGTGGCAAACAAAATCTCAAATCTTTAAAATAGCAATAGCTAAGATCACTATGAATTACACAAAAATAATCACACATCTAAAAGATATCTTAACGGGGCCACTGACAGACTTATTCAATCATTGCATCCAAACCCGCTATTTTCCTAGGACTTTGAAAATTGTAAAAGTACCTAGTACCTATCTATAAGAACATTTGACGAATACAATAATAACTATCCTCCTATCTCTCTTTTACCAATAATTTCTAAAATTCTAGAATCTTTAATGAAATATCAGATGAATAATGACTGTGAAAGTAGTATTTTTTTTACCGAAAGTTAGTTTGGTTTTTTTAAATAAAAAATCTACATCCCTGGCAATCAACCTCCTAACTGAGTTTGCTGCAAAAAGTTTTGAGGAAAAGTGTGATACTTACCTATGTTATGTTTTATTCCTGGACCTGACGAAGGCTTTTGACTGCATCCCTTTTGACATCATTTTTAACGAACTTAAGCATAACAACTTATATGTGCTCTTTAATAATACGAGCTCGAGCAGACAGAAAATCAAGCATGGCGTTTTTCAAGGCTCTGTACTGGGCCCCCTTCTCTTCCCCATCTACATCAATGATCTCCCAGATTTCTGTGATATTGTGAATCATTTAATTATCTTGTTTGCCGACGACACAACAATATCACCTGTCAGATTGTATCAAAGAGATAACCGAAAACAGCCAAACAAAAATTAAGAACTGGTTTTTAACTAACAAGCTCAGTCTCAATGATAGCAAATCTCAAAATCTTAATTTCACATTAGGAACCACTGAATGCGAGCTACCTAGTTCAAATTCAATTTAAATGGTTTATTTCCATAGACATATATACAATGTTTCGGAATTGTCAAATAAAATACAGTACAATATCACTAACAAAAAAGCAAGATCAAATTAAATCTAGTATAAATAAAATTATGATTAAAAAATTCAGCCAAGGAGTAGTGACGAGACAGTCAAAGTTCTTGGTGTGTATCTCGACTCAGGACTCAGTTGTTGGGAAACTCCATGTGGACAACCTTAGCGCCAAGCTTTCTAAAATTTCATTTCTGATAATAAACCTTTCGAAGAATGTTTCTACTTCCACTGTACTTACAGCGTACCATGGCTGTGTCTGCTCGAATATGTGAATAAGTCATATGCAATTCCAAACTGGGGTCATGCCCCAAATTCAAGCAACGTCGGCGCATAAGAGTTAATAAAGTACCGAGACTGCTGTAAGGATCTTACGGATTTTGACATTTCCCTGTGTTTTTGTATTGAGCTGCCTTATCTATGTGAAAAAGTCAGGAAATTTTCCTTACTCAGATGTCCACTCATGTGCAACCAGAAATCGTGACAAACTGGTACCTAGCTACAATCGATTAGAAAGAAGTCGAAGGGGTCCAGATCACATCGGAATAAGATTTTTTAATGCTCTTTCTACTTATGTGAAAAACCTTGACGAGGACAGAGAATTCATTACAAAAATTAAAAAATACCTTCTACAGGGTGCATTCTACTCTTTTGAGGAATACCTTTGATAGTAATTTTGTTTTCAATTAAGTATAATTCAATATTGTTGTGTCTGATCTTAAATCTTTCGAAGTGTCTGTGTTGTTAGTTTGCGTCCCTTGTCTTTTTATAATATAATTTTAACTAATTTCTTAGTTACGCTATTGTGACTAAAAACAAAATCCAGTAGGTAGGTACCTATTGTTTTTGCTTATCACGAATCGAAAACAATTGCCACATTTTCCCCATTACTGATGCAAAAAATAACAAACTTCCCCATAATTCACAATAAACAAAACAGTAGCTACCTATTTATTTATTCCCTAAACAAACACCTAGATAATTATGCATATGCTGCACACTCAGCGACACGCGACACCTGCACCTGTGACAAAGTTTGCCTGTGGTTTCAAAAATTTCCTACTTTGTCACACAGTTCCTGTAAAGCCAAATTCCAGCAGTCAGCGCTGTTCCGAGAACGCCAAGCGATCTATGCCTGTGCATCCGTACTAAGCGTTGATTCTCTGACACACACCTCTAAATCAAAAAGCTACACTTGAGCTTTCTGATAACGCTACTCCGCGTCACGCGTTCACTCTCTATTTAAGAAATCGTTCCTTACGCTTAAAAGCAGTTGAAAAGCGCACTCAGAGCGAGCCACATCAATAGCTAGCCTTGAGTAGGTACTAACCGCGATCGTGACTTACAATCAATAGACTTTGATATTAGTTAGAACTTTTGGTGCCTTCAAGTACATAGTGGTGATATTTTTTTTATTTTTTTCTCTTTTTTGTGAAAAAAAGAACTAGTGCCTAGAATTTTAAAAAACAAACTTGACAGATTATATAGTGCATGTTTCGAGCGATCATTACCATAACGAGTGCCCTTTTGGATTTCTCACGTACTTTTGACAATGTTGTCGTCGAGTGACGACTTACCTGTCACCGGTCGCCACAGGGTGTTGACAAAATCCGTTTCTCAAGAAACTTTTGACGTTATTTCGAGGGTGCCACCAACAAACGCAGAAAAGTTGTTTGACAATCTGCCCTGGTTGAATATTATGGCCGATATCGCTATCACAGCGGCTATTGCGGAAATGAAGGTGTGTTTTTATCTATGACAAACTAAAAATAACATAAATGTGCGAAATTAAAATACAAAAGCTGACCCATGACATCATTTCGGCTACTTGGCTTTGGAATCAATTCCAATTAATTTATACTGTATGACACATTTTGATGCGACCCCTTACAGTAACACAATGGGGGGTTATCAACAAATTTGAATGAATAAAGCAAAATGACTCAAGTATGAAAATTAAAATAACACACTGTGTATTAATCAGATATAAAAAAAATGCTAAATCTGATAGTAGAATTTAAATAATTGTACCTATTTAAAAAAAGTGTCAGTTTTGTTAAGAAATTAACAAAAACAAAAAGAATTTCTAGTTGGTAATTACTGTTTCACAACACACAAAATTAAAACGACTTAATTTAAATATTGCCGACATACAGGTTCATTGTTGATTTTAAAAATTAATTAACTTCGAGTTTTTGCTGCATATCAATCAGCAACCGATAGGGCTAATTTGCGAATTTGTCGGATTAACAAGATTAACAGCAGTCTTTAAAGTGCGATTTGTATAATTGCGTATGGAACAATTTGCAAAATGACTATATTATTTTTTGAATAATTATACCCTGTCATTTTTTATCTTATTATTGAAAAACTTACATTTTGTTTCACTTTTTTCACTTCTATGTATCAAACTGCATATTATAGAAAAAATTGTATGATCAAATTGCAACTAATAAATGACGTATTAATTGGATGAGATTTTTTTGGACAAATTAAAATTAAGATAGTGAGTACCTATAACAATTAACAAACGTTAAAATATCTAGATCCCAATTCTCTATCGAACAAAATTATCACAGTACTAATTATCACTAATTACTAATGAACCGTTATGTTGAATTTATCGGTATTGACGTAGAGAGTTGCACATTATCGTGTCAATTTTTCTTGATTTATCTCTTTGTCAAGTTGAACAGTGGCGCTGACATGTGTAGACGGCGTGGTAATATTTTTGTTAGTTGTTATTAAAATAATCTGTTGTAAATGAAACATCTCTATATTAGTGACGTCTTAATCAACATAAAGCACTAAATGACACCACATACAGGGCGATATTGACACAAATAATTGATGGCTTCATATTTCTAGAAATATTTTTTTTTGTTTAGGATTCTGAAATCAATTTTTATATACCTACCTAATATGATTTCACTCATAATAATAGGTCTTCTTATAGAAATATGAATGATTTTTGCAAAATTTTCAATTACTTGGCAGAAATTAATGTCTTCACCCTAAAAAAATCATAGGTAGGTAATCTATACCTACCAAGTATCAATATTTGTATAATAATTACATAAACAATTTTATATCTGAACATAAAACAGGGTGTGCATTTACGTATGTATAAAAATTTACATAAGATAAGTATCTTTAAGTCCACGATTGCGTATTGCTAGCCTTGTTTTTAGAAATGCGGCTTTACATTATCAGCTAGTAACAATACCCGATGGTTCAAAGTGAAACTTAAAAGATTACCAAAGTAAATTTGAAATATAATATACCCCTGATAAAGAGTTGTTAAAGATTTTCTAAATAATTAGTTGACTTCTAGGCACGTAGACCTATATTACTTGAATTTTGATGTCAATTTCCCAGTAAATTGCTAATAATCACTATGCCTCCTTGTTTTGGGTTTCGATCTGTAGATGCTAAACAATATTTCAGAGTTCCAATAAAAGTTGGTAAATACAATTTTTTTTTGTCTTATAAGGCAAATTCGTTTAATAATAATTTGAAGAAATCTTTTTACAAAAAAAAAGGTTGGTTTACTGATACAAAACTTGAAAGATGTAAGCTATTGAATGTTTTTAGTAAAAAATATTTTCTTTCTTTTCAGTTCAAACGCATGCTAAACAAAGAACTGTCTCACTTCTCCGAGTCAAGCCGTTCAGGAAATCAAATCTCAGAATACATTTGCTCCACCTTCTTGGACAAGCAACAAGAGCTAGATATACCAAATGTCCTACGTATAGAAGAAAATGTTCCTGAGCCTGCAGCTAAGGGACCTCCGCGCAAGGAGCGTCCCCGTGCTCCAACTACTATGTCTCAGATATCTGGAGTGAACAGGAAGTTGTGCCACACTAACTCATTTACTGGCGAAAAACTACCGACTCATGGGGTTGAAACTCCTTTCGAAGACGAATTAGGTAAATATCTTTAAATTATACATCAGCACATAGTGGAACACACAGTCAGTTTTGGGTTCGTCTGAATAACAATAATTGAACGCAAAATAACTCTTACAAACCTAATTTCTTTGTATTCTATTACGTTTTAAAAACGATTGTTCCTAGAACTCAAAAAAATGTATTTCTTGTAATTGAGATGGATTGAATTGAGTAAAAGAAGACTTAATAAATCCATGACTTGAAACAAGCAATACAAAATATTTTTTCCGCTCCTGTCGAAACATACCTTGTAGTTGCGGATCAATCAATTTCCATTTATATGACGTCGAAGCAAAAAGTTGTAACCTAATTTCAAAGTGTAAGCCAAAAATAGAAGGGGTTAGGTCATGACATCACTGGTCACTACAAAATGCAGATCGATAAAGTTTTTACTGCATTAATAATACCATGGGAAAGACGGTTCCACGTTTTCAAACCTATATATAGAAATAATACGCCAACCACAACATATATTTGAATCATAGCATGACCAAATTAAATTACTTCAATCAAAATCACTAAAAAAATAATTTATTTACTTTCAGGTAAATGTCTTTTGGAGATTGACAGATGGGGTGTCGATATGTTCAGGATTGGTGAACTAAGTAACGAAAGACCATTGACCTGTGTAGCATTCACAGTCTTTACTAGTAGAGAGCTGTTGAAGAACATGATGATTCCTCCAAAGGTTTTCGTCACATATATGATGACTGTTGAAGACCATTATGTTAAGGAGAATCCTTTTCACAACTCTTTGCATGCCGCCGACGTCACACAGAGCACCCATGTGCTCCTTAACACACCGGCCTTGGAGTCTGTTTTTACTCCATTAGAAATAACTGCCGCTTTGTTTGCCGCTTGCATACATGACGTCGATCATCCAGGTCTTACCAACCAATTTCTCATCAACTCGAGCTCTGAGTTGGCAATCATGTACAATGACGAAAGCGTCTTGGAAAACCATCACTTGGCCGTGGCCTTCAAGCTTCTCTCCAACGAAGGCTGCGATATTTTCCTGAACATGACCAAGAAACAAAGGCAGACTCTAAGAAAGATGGTTATCGACATGGTGCTTAGCACTGACATGTCTAAACATATGAGCCTCTTGGCTGATCTTAAAACTATGGTAGAAACGAAAAAAGTAGCTGGCAGTGGTGTTTTGTTGTTGGACAATTACACAGACAGGATTCAGGTGCTGGAAAATCTAGTCCATTGCGCCGATTTGAGCAATCCTACTAAACCCTTACGTTTATACAGGTAAATATATTTTATTTCATTCTGACTCTAATTTTAAAAACTTAAGAATTTTTTTTTTCTCGTTTGGCAAAAACTATAAATGTTATTTTTTGTTTCAGACTTTGGGTCGAACGTTTAATGGAAGAATTTTTCCGCCAAGGTGACAAAGAACGCGAAGGTAACATGGACATATCTCCCATGTGTGACCGTCACTCCGCTACCATCGAGAAGTCGCAAGTTGGCTTCATTGACTACATAGTGCATCCCTTATGGGAAACTTGGGCCGATTTAGTACACCCTGATGCCCAAGACATCCTCGACACTTTAGAAGAAAATCGCGACTGGTATCAAAGTGCCATACCAGCTAGTCCTCCAGCCGAAGAAGAAGCCGGAGATTCACAAAGGGGCAGCATTCGCTTTCAGGTAGGAATAAATTCCACTTCAAAAATAATTAATTTTCGATATTCAGTATAGGCCTGACAAAGTTTTTTTTTTTTTTCTCAACGACATTTTCTTTGTTACAGGTAACACTTGAAGAAGGCGATGCCGAATCCGAAACGGAATCGGCCGGCCCAATGTGACGGAGGCTAGCCGGCCTCTGCAGGAAGATCACTGAAAAAGTGGCATTATGGTGGCGCACTCGGCCTTAAAGCGCAGGCGCTTGGGCCAGTGCGCTAGGCAACAGTGCGCAGGCGCACTACCCGGCATGTAGCTAATAGACTAACATAAAGGGCGAAAAGCAGTCGTCGATGTCGTTTCGTTTTAGTTTTTTGGCCTCCTCGACCCTCGACGTTTTGCCTTAACCGCGTAGAAGAGACTTGTTTCTTGACCCCTTTACTGACTGTGCATCTGTAAATATGTCACTGGAATTTACTAAAAAAAATATATTATCTAATATGTCTGTCAGTGTAATACTCAGCCCCCGTGTATGTATAGGTTCTATGTGTCTTGTCAGCTATATTATAAACACAAAAGTAAAGCTCTCTCCATTTTAAATTTGTTGTTTATTTTTTTAAAATCCTATCCAACCTCTATCCCAAAATTATAATTTGTAAATTACCTAAGATCAAAAGGAATAACGTCAATAACGATATACCTACTAGAGTGGGAAATTCTGAAGAAAACTGCCAGTCTATAATATAGCTAAACTAATATGGTTGTTTTTATCTTTGATTTTTCTAAAGACTGGCCTACAATGTATGTATAGAAGAGAGAGGACCCGCTGTTGCTGATCACTTTAGCTGCTAGGAATGCTAGACATAGTACCAGCTACAAAAATTACCGAACTGAAACTATTGAACTTCTGTAGAATCTAAACGGATTGTAATAGAGCAAACAGCTTGCAGATTCCTGTCCTAGTGGACTAGACTGATTATATCAAAAAAGCTTTCCGTTTTAATTTCAGAACGCGTTTCATATCACTTCTGGGCAAAAGGTCTTATCCCCCTATTTTGAACCTGCTGAATCCGAAAATGCCAGTTGCTCAAGCGAAATACGAACCGGAAGTGCGATATCCAAAATGGCGGCCGATATGGGGACGAAATACCCAAAATCGGCGCAGTGAAACCCTCCTTCGATATAGAAACGCGTCCAAAATGTCCAGTATACCGTATGGTTTTCAGCAGGAGGAATTCAAAAATGCATGCTGAAAAAGCGTTGGTTGAATTTTTGCCCCTAACTTGCAAGATTAGCACCACATTGGTGTAAATTATAGTTTACTATTTCTTGTATCGGTTTTATAAAAGTTTTATTTGCAAATTTGTCTTTTTATGATGTACTTAGTTTGCAACTGCCATAGTTATACATTTGTAAATCTTTTTTTTTCTGAAAAGCAACGTAAAAAAACTGCTCATCAGAAAGTTCTTATCTATAGCAAGTTTCTGCTTTTTTTATTTCCACTTCATCTTTGAGGAAACTCTAAAAGATGAGCCCTTTACCCTTTACTCATTTGGACCACTTAAGTGCCGGTTTCTCAATAACAAGTCACCCTCGGGTTAAGCATAACTCCAGGGTAAACATTGCAACTGGACCGGTTAACCCTGGAGTTGAAACCAAACTAGAGGTGACTCGCTATTGAGAAACCGGCCCTAAAAGTGACCCCCGGGTTAAGCATAACTCCAGGGTTAACATAGCAACTGGACACGCTTACCCTGGAGTTAAAACCAACACTGAGAAAACTTCCAGCCAAAAATTCTTTACTAGTGTATTTTCAGCTATCATAGCAGAAATTTTAGCTTAAATTGCAAAACGATCCTATTCTAGTTGTAGGATGCACTTTACTATGTTAACATAATGTCATTTTGCTGTCCCAGTAAAGTTTTTTTCTGCCAATAATAGTTTTTTCCTGATACAGTAGAAACACTTATTATTAATAAGTATGTTTTCTACCGCGGCAAAGTGCATGCCTGCAACTATCAAAAAGTTTTCTATAAGTTTTTTTAATTATTGCTGGAAAGATTTTGGCTTCTTCAGCCAGAAGATTTTCAACAAAATCCGTCGGGTGGTGAGGTGGGGGGTGATTTGCGATCCATGAGGTTTCCCGACGCTAGCATCGCTCGGTAGTCCGTGGTAAACGTCAAACGTAGAAGGAAGCTTCTGCTGTCGGCTCGTGCAATTTTGTAATCAAGTCAATAAGGTGAAGTCGATCGAAATATTGAATTGTTTGTTTTTTTTAGTTGGTGGGTGAATGTGGTAGGGTAGGTATGCAACGGTATATAATGATGTATCTATTTAATATTTTTTATGAGCTTATTCTTATTCTCTTTAAGATATTCTAAAATAAAAAATGTTGGTTTTCTGTTTTTGTCTTAAACAAGATGGCGTAGCCTAATCCTTTTTTCGAATATTATTATAGGTATTTTTAATTGATCGAGGAGGCAGTGCATTCGTCACAGGACTTCTCCAAGTTTGTTTTGATTCAACCAACCTCGTATCTCATTACTGATCTCCTTATATAAAGGCTCTTGTATTATTGTATTTATTGTTTATGCTCCTTTAATTATAGATTTAAGTTTTTTGATTTTTTATTACAAGAGTAGTTTTTTCTTATAATGGGTATAAGAATTTTCCATTTTTCTGTCTATATTTTATTTCTATAAAAAAATATTATTTTTTAATAAAATATATGTATTGTTTAATTATAGGTACCTATTTGTGTTTTATTTTTACCCCATGAACATATTTACCCCACTAATGGCCATTTGCACCGACCATTTTAAGGAAGCCTTAGCGATAAGTTTTCCTTAAAGTGACATTTCTCTACGTAAAAATGTCATTGGATACTTATCGCTAAGGCGTCCTTAAAATGATCGGTGCAAACGGCCATGATCAACTTTTTAACCATGAGCAACTGACTTTATTGTCACTGCAAAGTAATTTTATGGTCACATAAAAATACTTTATAGTAGCACCAAATTTACTTTGTAGCCACAATAAAGTTACTTTATTGTCATAAAAAAAACTGTAGGTATAGTCGTAGCAAAGTCACTTTATAGTCACAATAAAGTTACTTTATTGTAGCAACAAAGATATCCTTCATAGTCACAACAAAGTTACTTTGCTGCCACGGGTAAGACGTTTCAATAAAGTTAACTCTATCACCACAGTTAAGAACTTGGCTGGAGCCTATTCTAAAAAAAAAATTAGCTGTGCTCGCTAAAAAATTAGCAAGGGCCATAAGGAAGATTTCTCAGTGAACCTGGAGAGGTGACTCGCTATTGAGAAACCGGCCCTAAAAGTGCAGGACCAGATCGCATTTTTCTGGTTCTTTTACAAAAGGGGCTGGAGCTACTGAATCCGCACTCTATATGCCTCTTCAGGGCCTGCCTCCACTGGCGTAGCGGTGGGGCCGCAAGAAACACTTCCTGCAAATTTGCCCCCCCCCCCCCCCCCCCCAAGAAAAAATCCTGGCTACGCCCGTGCCTGCCTCGCATATGGTCAAACACCATATTCCTGGCGTAAGGTCCAAGTGGTATTCTTCCCCAAGCCAGGACATTATAGTTACGAAGCGGCTAAGGATTACAGACCTGTCAGTCTATCCTCGTTTCTTCTATAAAAAAGCTGGAGAAACTGGTAGACACGTTCATTGGGAAGCGTCATAGTTGTGTTCCTTTCACACCGCTCCGCGGGGCGTTACACGTTACGTTTATTCCTTTCGGAAAGTGTTTGTTGCACCTGAAGTGCTCAAGCCTGAACTAAACCATTCAAATGCACGAAAGCCAGCGCATCTGTTCCTTTCAAATCGAGGTCGAGTAACACCCGAGCGGGAGGCTCTAATGTTCTAAACTCTTGAAAGGAATACAACTAATGCCCATGCACCATAATCAACACGCCTACAGGACTGCCATGTCAACTGAAACGGCTCTTCACAGCCTTAGCCGCTTTCCAGTATGGGAGTGTGACGCCCGGAGCTACTCGGGGCGTTGAGCTCCCGAGCTGTACGTACCCGTCAACCTGTCAGTTGTCACATCCGTTGGTGGCTATTTATTTATTTGTTTCTTGTTATATCTCGGGATCGAACATTTCCAACATATAGTTTTGATTTTCTTTCATCAATTTTTAATAAATAATAAACAAACTGCACCAACAAACAGATAATTATTTTTAAAATTTGACATATTTGACACTAAGACAGGCGTCTCACGCCATGATACTGGAACGGTACAAATCTAGCGCGTGGCGCCCCCGAGGTGCTCTAGAGCGAGCCAATGTGCATACTGGAAAGCGGCTATTGTGGCAAAGCTGGAGCGAGGGATGTCGCATGGCTCTGGGAGTATTTCTAGACATCGAAAGGCCCGGAGGGGTATTCAATAACACCTCCTTCGACTCGATAAAGAATTGTGCAGAAAGGTTTGGCATAGAGAAACGCCATTGTCAAATTGTTTATTTGTGTTAAAAAAAAATGCCGAAAAACAGCGACTTCGAAATTTAATTAATAAAAACTGTGGAAGTGCATCCATATCTATATAATTTCTAACTGCCGGAATACAGTGTTAAAGAAAACGAATGCAACAACAATGGTAATCCTGTAAAATTTCTCAAAATTCTCGGGATGTAGCCGCAGTTCTCTACCCACACTTGCACTATATTCTAAGTTATTAACGTTAGCATAGGGTTGCCAGACGTCCCCATTTTAACGGGACAGTCCCGATATTGGAGATTTTGTCCCGTGTCCCGATGGACTATACGTCGGGACGCTAAATGTCCCGATTTCACAAATTTTTCTTGAAAGTTGGAAAAAAACTAACAGCTGTATGCTACATCCTCTTTTAACTTAAAAGCGCTTTTTAAAACTGGTACCTTTAAAAATTTGTATGGTTTATTGGAATACCCATTTTTAAAAGTGACCAGTTTTAAAAAGCGCTTTTAAGTTAAAAGAGGATGTTGCATACAGCTGTAAAAATTTTAAAAAACAAATCACTTATTTTTGAATTGTAGCTACTTGTTAATTATCTATTACTATTTTCAAGATTTTTTTTCGTTTCGACGATAAGAATAAACTGAGTACCTAATGCATTTTATTATTTTGCGGTATTTTTTATTTTCAAATTTTATTAGAAGTTATTGTTCAGTTTTATTCGAG